CTTTTCCTCTTTCCCTTTGCCTGACAATCCCCACATCCTCACCCTTCTACTTGGCTTCCTTCTCTCCTTCCCATAGAGGCACCAGCATAACTTTTAGCTGCTCCCCCTTCTTCAGCTATATTATTTATCTCTTCCTTCTACAGAATGGGGACCCGAGCAGCTTTCTTCATTCTCCTGCCCTCCCCCGTTTTATCCTCAGGGGTGGCCTGGGAGTGGGGGGACGGATGAGGAACCCACCTGACAAGCCCATCCACGGCCAGGTGCCGCCTCCCTCGCCTCAGGCAGGCCTCGAGCAGGCCAGGGACTCCCCTCCCTTGTCTCGTGTGGGCCGGATGCTGGTTGCCTCCCTTGCCTGCCTTGGCTGTGCCACGTGGGCACCACCCTCCCCTCACACAGGGGGCTTGGCTGGGTGCCATTGGGCTCAGCAGAGCTGGGTGTCGCTACGTGCCTTCCCTTGCATGATGCTCCGTTGGGCGGAGCGGGATGCTTCTGCCTCCCTCGCCTCGTGTGGGGCTCAGCCACACACCGCCGGGCACCGTCCACCCTGCCGTGCACACAGCTCAGCTGGGCCAGGCACTGCCGTCTGGTCCCGCTTGCGTGGGGCCAGGCGGGGCCCCGGCAGCTGCTTTGCTCCATTCAGCACCTGCCTGAGCTGGGCACTGTCAACTGACTGCCCCCCTCCTCTATGCAATCCAACGCATAGTTGCTACTTAAATGGAAATGTCATCCATCTGTGCACACAGTTCTGCTGAACAAAGCCAATCAGAGGAAATTTAAAGATGCAGTAAACCCCCCCCCCCCCCAAATATCAGTCAACAAGTGCCTGGTTATGGCTGCCCAAAGAACCAGCTGAGCTGCCTCGAGCCACACGAGAAAGGCGGAGTATGAATATTAAATAAATACATAAAATACCCCCCCACACACACCCACTTTCTTGCAGCAAAAACAATGGCATGGATCCCAACCTCCCTTTGCTCTTGTGCTTGAAGAAAACGGAGAGGGTATTTGTGGCTAATTCCCACCTTGACCCCACAGAGTGTCCCCCCCATGGGTGCGCAATCTTGGGGTTCATAGACGACTTGGGGGGTTGCTGTTTATGCCGTGTTTGAAGGAGAATTCTGGAAACTACATTTTACCTCACCCGGCCAAAGTAAAAAAAAAAAATACTTCCCAGGATTAATTGGACCAGGCTCAGGAAGACTCTGAACAAGCATGGCGCTGGGTAACGGGAGGAGCCCTGAGCTTTAGGCCAGCCGGCCTCCTAGCCACCACACACCCTCCTCTGCTTAGAGGCTTTCTGAACTGGGAGGTCTCTATGCTTTTATTCCGCAATTATGCCATTAATGCCTTGAGCACCAGACTTTAAATGACAGAGCTAAGGGGGGGGGGAGAGTTGAACAAGAGCTCACTGGACCTCCACATGGAACAGGACCTCCACATGGAAAAGGGAAAATAGTTATCATTTCGTAGTCTTTTCTTTGATGTGGCAGCTTTTGAATTCTGCTCCCAGAAGGAGAGCTCATCACAAAAATCCATCACAGAACACATATAACCTGACATAAGAAGTAATGTGAGGGTGACCCAACATCAAATATATCCTCTTTAGACAGTGAAACAAACCAGAGAGATACAAACACATTTCTATGAGTAAGCACCACTGAACATGCCTGAGTAGGCGTCTAAATAGATCTGCTTAGGATTGCTCTTAAAATCTGCTAGTTATTAATGAAGGTTGAACTTCGCTTAAAAAATAATGAAGGATCATTCAAGAAATGTCACTAAGATGTGCCTACAGGAAACTCTTCAGGGGGGGAAAGTGTTCAGTGTAACCTTGCTTATAAATATTGAATCTGACTGAGCTAATATTCTTATACAAGTATCTGGGGGGAGTGACTTACGTGAACTGCTGCCAAGATGCCCCCCGGAGGATATCCTCCCCCCACAAACAACAGTGCCCCCAAGTTGGCTTGTGAGGAAGGAGAGAGGGACTCGGCCATGGGGCTAGAAAACATTGTTCCCAGCCTTTCGTGAGGAGAGGGGCCCTCAGAAGAGCCTGGGGGGCCCGGGTTAGGGTGGCCAGCTCTGGAGTAGGAAATGGTGCCCGGAGATTCTGGGAGGCAGAGCCTGAGGAGGGCGGGGTTTGGGGAGGGGAGGGGCTTTCAGTGGGGCAGAATGCCAGAGAGAGTCCACCTCCCGAAGCGGCCATTTTTTCCAGGTGCAGCCGGGGGATCAGTTATAATCGCGGGAGGTCTCCAGGCACTACCCGGAGGCTGGCGGCACCCGTCCCAGGGGATACGCACGGCCAGTGGGGGGAGGGAAGAGTCGCCTCAGAAGGGGCCAGGAAGCAGGTGGGTGGAGGTATCGGGGGCAGGCACCGCTGGCCATGTGGTTCTGACACACCAGCACAATTTGATCCTGAGATTTCTTGCTGAAATTGCTATGTAAGGAAAGGGTTGAATACACAGTGGACACAGGGAAACTTACCTAAGGAAATAGGGGAACACCACGGGAAATATGAAATAGAGGAGAAATAGGCAACCCCCCAAATTCATAGTACTATGAAAGAACCAAGAAAAACAGTAGGGAGGCACCAGCCTTGCCAGTCTTAGAGTAACTCCATGTCTACAACAGACTGCCACATGAGACATAATGCACTTTGGGAAAATGTCTTCTGCTTCATGGTTCTCTATCTGTCTCCAGCAAAGCCAATATTATCACTGCTGTTCCCTGTATGTACTATACCCTTTTCCTATAGCACAAGCTGGGACTTAAAGGAATTAAGCCAAGAAATCTGCATCCTGGAACTGGTAATACTAAACGGACATGTGCGCACTCCTTTGCAGGACGACATTTCATCTTTACAAACAGGCAGCCAGACAGCCTCTCATCATTTTCCATGTTAAACGCGAAAGGCACCGAGAGCACGAGACAGAATTATTTGCTTCTGGATCAGGAGTGCAATTCCCCCATGAGCCCTGAAAGAACAAGCATCTAGCTGACTGAATTTGCTGTTCTATGTTTAACATTTTAAGCACACGATAGTGAATGAACTTTATTTTACCATGTTTATTTAACCAACTGGTAATGGAAGTCTTGGATGAAAAGGTCACGGCTTTTTGAATCAGCCTAACTGCATAATTTTCAGTAAACCCAGTTTCAGCATCAGGGACCGACGAGAAAAGACCTTGTGAAACCCATGAATGGACCTCGGGCTGCTCAAATGGGCATCACCACCCTGGGTGGGCGGGGCCTAAGTGGGCTCAGGGTTGCCCCTGAGTGGAAGGGTGGTCAGCCCTTCCCTCACCCCCATCAACTTTTTCCAGTGCTGCTATTTGCCTGACACGTGAAATGCATACAAACATGTTCGGAGCCTGAACATTTCCCCCTGCACAGAGCAGAGCGCAGCTCCAGAAGAATGTACCAAGTTGAGAAAATACCACTGAAACCCCTTCCCCTGTAACCCCTGATACAGTTCAGGGACTCCCGTGGTTCTCAGAAACACACAGGGGATGTCTTAAGGTTACAACTAGCTCGAGCTTTACATATAAAAGAAACTCAATCATTTATATATGAATTAAAAACCCATGACCATGAGAGACCCAGACACATTTCTCTCTCTCAATCCCAGTTCTCTGAGCTTGCAGAATCAGTGACATTTTACAAAAATTATTAATCATCCCAGACACTCCATTATTTTTTTGTTCTTTGTTGATGGTACACTTGCCCCAAACAATTCAAAAACACCAGCAGAGAGTTCTCTAATTCTTTGTCAAGACACGTAACTTCTTCTTAGAAAAAAAGTTTAATGGTCTACTTAAGGGGACACAATTGTATGCATTTATGGTACTCTCTCATTTTTGTTCTTAAAAAGACGACTGTCTGAGGAAAATGCCAACGAAAGAGCACTCCAGGTAATCAGCAAACCTCCCTGTCCAACTGGTTTGGCTCATTAAACAACACACCACAGCTGTACAATATGAAGCTGGCTGCAACTGTAAATCTCTTTTACGAGCTTGTAACCGTAGATAGAAGTAACATTTCACCCACCTTGGATCTTTCTGAATGCTATCAATGGAAGGTGACCTAGCCAAGGTTCCCTCAGGCGGGATGGCTGGTCCAGATTTGCTGTATGGTGATTCGACAGAAGGACAATACTGCAGCTGTCGGTAGGGGTCTGCGTAATTGGAGGCCGGGCCTGCTGCATAGCTGGCCCTCTGGAAGGTCGCGGTTGCGTTCTGGGTGCCGTGCTGGCTGCCTGTGCGCTGTAAGGGTACGGAGTCGACACCAGGGGAAGATGGGGCTACGACAGGAAAGTAGGGACAAAGTAAAAAATTGAGGACCTGTTCACAGAAATGGTTAACCAGGTCTAGGCAGAGGAAAAAAATACAACACATATAAACAGGGGTTTGAAGAGAATAAGGGGGGAAAAGAACATTGTCATACCTGAAACCACAATGAAATACACTGATGAAAATTTTAAATACATTATCACATAATGCTTCAATATGTTCAGATTTTTAAATTAACGTCCAAGTAAAGTTGCTTGAGAATATCAACATCAAAGTAAACTTTTCCCCGCCCAAATAAGAACAAATCCACACATCTGTTGTATGGCTTCCTGTCACCACAGAAGGACATTATCTGTGGACAAGAGGTCACCGGGTCACATCAACATGGACCTCACCCCTAGGACAGCATTTAACTAGATCTTTTTGAAAAATCAGCGGTGGCACACACTAAAATAGACTTGGATATATGGACTATATGGACATGTATTTGGAATACTTTACCACAGAAACTATCAACAATACAGTGGAAAAGAAACCGACTTTAAACTGGGAAAAGCGCAAGTGATCAATTGGTCCCCAGTGGGTTTAAAAATGTAATCTTGGGAAACAATGCATTAGCATCCAACCATGCTCTACTGAAGTTTTTATTTAAACTATTGCTTTTGAAGCAGTAATTATCCAGGACTGTAATCATGTGCACATGTGCCTGTGCGTGTGTGTGTGGGGGGGGCGGTTTCGAGGCAAGTGAGAAGCAGAGGTGGTTTTGTCACTGCCTATTTCTGCAGAGTCTTCTTGCCTCCCAAGAATTGGCCCTGCTGAGCTTCCAAGATCTGACAAGGTCGGACTATACCTGGCTGCCTTCCTTCTTCCCATGTGCATATTTACTTGGACCTACTTCTGAGTAAACATGAATAGGATCTAGCCAGAAAGTAGATTTACTACCCCCTTTACTACCCCTATTATTTATCACAGTTAAGTATTATTCCATTCCTCTCTGATTGCTTCAAACGCATGTAAAACCGAGAGAGGAAAGAGAGAGTTTTCTCCTGAGCTTTCTTCTTGAAAATTTCCCAATTTCTCTTTTCTATACTAACTGGAATTCATTTTCTCAGGATTAAATGAGACTTTTGGTGACACGTGTCTGGAAACTGGGTCATTGACAATTATTTAAAACAGGGCAGGCGAGGGGCAAAATTTGGCGGGGAGGCAGGATGGGTGGGAAGGGCTGCATCTTCTGCGTGCTCCCCTTCCTCAGCTACTTTTCACCAGCTAAGGATACCCAAATGCATATTTCCTGTGGTCAGGAGAAGAACGACAGGAGGAGAGATCTGCACGTGACAAGCGGCAGATTGTGTGAAGATGCAAGAATCCCTTCCCCCAGCCAGAGGAAAAAGTGAATAATTAAGCAATCATGAGCACAAATGAAGGGAAGTATGGGCCTCGTCTGGCTGCTGTCACTGGAAACAAAACTTTGGAGATGCCCTATTCCTAAGAACAGTTTCCTGGAAATAAGCCCCATTAAATTAATGGGACTGATTTCTGAGTACACCTGTTTATGGTTGTGCTTTGTGTTCCTCAGCGTTCAACTTTTATGTACACATTAAGGTATTTTGTAATGGCCGCCAGTGATTTCTCTCCAACATATAAATGTAATAGATGCAACTGCTCCGTGTCCACCTATTCATGCACCTGGATGGGAATACTATTATTCTGCTGTAATGATTAGATGCTGAAGTGCTTGGTGAAAATTGATAATTGCACACTTTCTAAATGTTTTCTGTGGCCTTTTAAGAAAACACACGCCAATTTGAATATAAGCACATATGCAGCCTTCTTCATGGTGAATGTTACAAATATTATTACACTCCTTCCAAGTTGGGTCCAATGTTTATTTTCCTCATGCAATTGCCATTTTTATGTTTATGGAACAGCAAACTGAACTACAAAATGTACTTGTTATTTATGGCAATGGGTAAGATGATGCAGTACTGAAATCCTATTGGTTAGTAGACACTCAAAAAGAATGCAATGATATCAAGTTAGTAGTCCACATGCATGAAAATACAAAACCAGTATTCAGTCTTCATTGAACAGTGTATATTTTATAATAACTCATCTTTCCAATGAACATCTAAAAGGTTGAATAAAGATAAACTAGGATATAAGTCTATAACAATGTACAAAATCAATGTATTCAAAACAGCAATCAACATTTTTGGAATAAAAGGGCTACAAATCAAAATAAATATATAAATATCAACAACCAAAATCCTGGAGTCCACAGTATGTTTTTGCTATTAATGTATGTGAAAAATAAGTGGAGATTCTAAAAATAAACAGAGATACTGCAGTGTTACTTGTTGAACAATTAATCAGATTGAAACTGTTTTGACTTCAATGAGATTTAAGGGAACACTGGACTGTGTAAACATGAGTAACCAGGAAATGCAGTTGGGCATCATGAAAGAAAAATTACCTCAGCATCAGCAAGTTTCACAAATGTTAATGAAAACCAAAAATCAAGCTTTGAGACAATTTGTGGACTATGGGGAGTCCCCCCCCCCAGCTGTTCCAAATGACTGCCTGAATGCAACATTTCTAATGAACCTGGAAGTATGGAAATAACATGTAAAATGAAAATCCATAACTTTTCAGAGAATGCAAGGAAATCCTCTAAACAGGCCAGCCTTGATTCCATTTCATCCCTTCTTCCACAGACACTGGCCATGCCCTGCCCACATAAAATATACAAGAAGCACAGGTAACCCTCCAGAGCTCCACTTTTGGGATGTCGCAAGCTACTTTTCTCCCATCGACACATGAAAAATACCCTCTGCTGGTTAACAGTGGCCCGAGGTAAGGGGGATTCCTTCAATGGCACCACACCATCTGCCCACTTTTCTGCCTTCATCCTTCATCACTACGCATGAAGGGAAAAGGAAACCTGAATGAATTTTTTATTCATGTAGGTAGATGATTTCCCTTCAGTTAGACCACGTAATATGAATGGAATAGGGATAAGGTATCTTCCAGTTCTGTGATTTTGACTATTTACAGTTTTAAATGAATCCTGTTTATCAGTTCTTCCCTCACTGAGTTCAAAAAATAATTTCATCAATAGCGATATCAAATCATAGAACAAGGTTTGAGTCCAGTGGCACCTTTAAGACCAACAAAGTTTAATTCTGGGTGTATGTTTTTGTGTGCATCTAAAGAAGTGGGTGTGTACACGAAAGCTCATACCTTGAATAAAACTTTGCTGATCCTAAAAGTGCCCGACTGGGCTCAAAACTTTGTTCTGTTGCTTCAGACCAACATGGCGACCCACCTGACTGTATCAAATCCTGCATTCTTAGTTCCGTTATTTCCACTGAATCCAGAATCTCTTCTCCCCAACCCTATATTTCTATGCCATAAAGCACACTAAAAATCCCCGTACTGCCAAACAGCTTGATAACAGGGTCAACCATACCACCTCCTTTGGAGGAGGAAAAAAAAATCACTATTGCCTCCACAGTCTTCAAGGTGGAGGACTTTAATGAAACTAAATTAGGTCACCGAGAGAGGGTTTCTGAAAACGTTATTCCTAGATATTTATATACACTACACTGTTCAATCTGAACACCCAAGATTCTCCATACTGATTTCCTGTGTTATTTCCTAAATACCATTACCTTAGACTTGGCATACTTTATACATAGGCCTTCTTCATTACAGTACTGGCCCAGTTGATCCAAAAGCTTTCTCAGGCCAATTTTGGTCAATGACAACAGAACCATGTCATCTGCATACTGTCAGGATCAACAGCAAGCAGGTCCAAACACACTCTTCAGGAAAAGTTATGCTTTATTGGCATACTGGTCTGTTGTAATGGCTACAGGTACATTGTTAGGAATAACGATTAGTGCGAGGGACTCACTAGATATACTCTGATGCTTCAACTAGCTAAGCAAATGAATTTCAAGCACTCGCACGGGAATTCTCCCGGCGGGACATTACATCATGAACGGGAGACTCTCCCCACCCCCTGAGAGCAGAAATAGTCACACTGATAGTGGAACTCAAGCCCTCCCTTCTCGTCAAGGTTGCGCTGATAGCGCTGTCTGGCTGAGCCAGTTCTCACGGATGAGAGCGAGCCTCCCTTACGTTACCCACGGCAGCAAAGCAAGCATGCGCATGTGCGCAAGGGTCGGGGATGAAGGTAAACAAAGAAAGCATGGCAGCTAGCTGACACATACAACATTATCGGTACCTTAGTTTGACCTATTGCCAGGGGCATAAATTCCATGCCCTCAAGTCTATTAACTATATCATTGATATGCAGGTTAAATAAGGTGGGGGCTAAAATACAGTCTTGTTTTATCCCATTATGTACAGGTATGTCATCAGTTAACACACCTTCTTTTCCAACCTTAACCTTATCAAAAAGACCAACCTAGGATAATCAATATTAATATTTAGCAGTTTTTGCCATAATCTCTTCCTATCAAGGGAATCGAAGGCTGAGGCCACATCAATAAAGGCCACATATAATGCTTTCATTGGACCTCTACCAGTGTCAGTAGCCAGAGTATATAATGTTTGACAGTGTTCAATTGTAGAAAGCTCTTTTTAAAGCCCTATTTGCAGGTACAGGAAGTGGATTAGATTATTCTCGGTTAATTTTGCTAACTTTGTAGTTTTAGTATGTGCAAGATTATGTCATGTATGGCCCATGGTCAATACAATAAACTGAAACTGCTGCTGCTGCTAGTTCCATTATCAGCTTTTTAATTAATTAATCTACCCCAGGGTTTCCTACAGCAAATTATATCCAATTCATCTAAATTCATATGCACAGCTCTCTTACAGCTTGGTACTTGCATGCACTTTCCCTTAAAGTGGACCTGACTCCATTCGCCCAAGGGCTTATTGCGTGAGCAGAAACTACTGTGGGAAGCGCAAGCTCCTCCAGGGGCTTTGGTGGTGCTTTGCACTCCATGTGAGGACAATTTAGGCATGTGGTTGGCAGACAAGCATTTGTGGGAAGCAAAAAGGGAATACAAGTTAAAAGTTAGGGGTTAGGAGGAAGAGTAGA